CCACTGCATCCCCAATGCCTGAAAAAGCACCTAGAGCCACACTTACTACATAACAGGATGAATAAATGAGTCAGTGTTCCACAGCTCAGAGGCTTGGATCTCTTCTCTACCTAAATTCACTTCCCTGATGATCTCATCATCCCAGTTTTAAATACCAGAAGGAAAGAGCCACATTTTTCACTTTTCCTGGGCATCTCCCCTGAACTTCCAGGTTTCCCGCAAACACGCTCCAACTGCTGTCTCCATCTCAGTTGTGGCAACTTATTCTTCTTGTTGTTCAAGCAAAATCCTAGGCTATTCTTTATGATTGTTTCACTAACATACCATATCCAATCACCAAATAAGTCCACCCTCAATATATGTCCAAAATCCAACCACTTCTCACCATTTCATTTTCCACCACCTTGGTCACCTGCAACATCATAACATACCCTCCTGCCTAGGTTCTTACTTCTCTGTTGTATCCCAGCTCTAATGTCCTATGAAGTAGACAAAGTCATTCTTTTAAAACACAAGTCAGACTATGTCATCCCTTGCTAAAAACTCCACCCTGGTTCCCTTGCCTAACTCAAAGTAAAACTCGGGGATTTCCAGTGGTCTACAAGCCTCCTGTACTCCCATCCCCACCTTTTCCATCCTTCCCCTTTCATTTCTCTTGTGCTTGTAGTTTGAATGTACAATCTTCCTCCATAAGTTCACATATTCAAACACTTGGTCCCCAACTGGTGACAGTGTTTGGGAGGGTCATAGAAACTTTAGGAGGTAGCGCCTCACTGGAGGAAGTGGATCACAGGGAGCGGACCTTGAGGCTTTACAGCTCAAACCACTTCCTGTTGACCCTCTGCTCCCTGAGTACACATGCAATGTGACCAGTCTCCAGCTCCTGCCACCAAAGCCTTCCCTTCCTGCTGTCACATTCTCCCACCATGATCCACCACATCCCTCTGAAACTGTAAGTCAAGTATTTTCTTCTTTAAGTTATTTTTGTTAGAGTGTTTTTTATTACAGCAACAGGAAAAGAAATTAGGCCAATGTTTATCAACATCTAATGTGCACAATTTACTCATTTACTTATTTCATCTAATGTCTCCTCAACTTGGATAAATATTCCATATTTTTGTCTGTTTTGTTCACTGCTTGATTCCTAGCACCTAAAATACTTGGCACATAATGCATGCTCAATGTGTATTTTTTAAATTATTACTGCATTTATTTATTTATTTATTTAGTGTTGGGGGAGTGTACAAGGGCCATGGCACTTGTAGGAGTCAGTTCTCTCCTTCCAGTATGTAGGTCCTGGGGATCAAACTCAGGTCTTCTGACTTGGCAGCAATTGCCTTTGCCCACTGAGCCACCTTGCCAGCCCTCAATGTGTATGTTTTAAACGAATAAACAAATAATGTTCAAGGCATAAATTTCAAAAGGTGTTAGCAAACAAGTTAACTATGCGTCAGAACTGTTGTAAACACATGAATTAACTCATTTAGCCATCCTAAGAAGTTACGCACTATTGTTACTATTCTAATTTTGCAGAAGAAAAACTTAAAGCAGAGGTCAAAGTTAAGAAATTAAGGTTAAGCAATATGCCCTATATCATACAATGGAAAAAAAAACAGGATTTAAAGTCCTATACCTTAACTCCAGAGGTGATACTCCAAGACATGGAAAAACCTCAAGAATCATGCAATTCAATTATATTCTACGTCATCTGTTTTATAGTTCTGAAAATAACTAATGTACTAATTATTTGATTATCCACAGTACTTTGTTTCCTGATCTTTCTCCATCAGTGTTTCTGATACCTTTTTTCTTCTTCTTCTTCTTTTTTTGTCTTTTTTGAGAGAGAGTAGCTCCAGCTGGCCTGGAACTCGCTATGTAGACCAGGCTGGCCTTAAACTCACAGAGCTCCTCCTGCCTCAGCCTCCTGAGTGCTGGAACTAAAGGTATAAGTCACCACACCCAGCCTCTGATACTGTATATATGAACTACATTTAATAATTCTCATACTCTTACAAAGAACATAAGCATAGCATGAAACAGAGCAGCTGCTGCTATGAGAATCTACACTTCTAAGTTTCCAGTATTGACGATGAATTATGAGTCCCACATAATTCTCCATGACTTTAGCAATGAACTTAGCAAGCAACTTTTTAAAAAACAGGATTCTACTCTGTAGCCGGAACTGGCTTGAAAATCACTACATAGACCTGTCTGGCCTCAAACTCACAGCAATCTTTCTGCCTCAGCCTCCCAAGTGCTGGAATTACAGATATCTTGCTTAATAAAATAAAATGCAGGATTTTTTTTTCAGCCACAAAAAATTCTAAACTGGTCTCTAAATACCTCAGATTTTCTACCAAATTATATAATTTCATTTCTACAAGGATCACAATTATTAACCATGGCACACAAGTTTCACCCAATTTTTTGTTTTGTTTTATGCAGTGTTGAGGATCAAACCCAGGGCTTTCTGCATGCTAGGCAAGTGAACTACCAAATGAACCATATACGAAGTCCCTCACCCAGCATCTCATTACATCAAAGTATACTTTTAAAGTGAAAACTAAATACGGGGATTTTTTTAGGTTTACTTCTAACAAATACAAAAGCACACCTACTCACTGCACCAACCAATAATTCAATGTGTGGATAGAGCTCATTTCATCTTTTCTTTATAATTATAAATTGAACTATACATTTTGTCATTTAATAGTGTTATATCCTCTATCTCATATCAGTCTCCACAAACAGAAGTATTTTCTAGAAAGTAAGTCTGCTCATGAAGTAGACATGGAAAACAGGCAGTGATCTCCAACTACTGAACCTAATCTATGTATTTCTCTTTTGAGTTACAGAAAAGCACTTCCAAGGTTATTTTCCCAAATAAACTGACTGGGTAAGCCTTAGGAAAGTTACTGTTTAAGTATCATTTCATGAGTTTCTCTCACTCTAAAATGAATTATTAAGAGTCATGCCCACTTTCATCCATACATAATACATGCCCACCACAGGACCTGTCTTCTGAACAAGAAACAGCTTCATTTAAGGTACTAAATGATAAGGCGTGTGACTACTATTTAATAGGAAACATGAATCCAGAAGCCTCAGATTTACTGTGTTAAACTGTAAAACACTGATGTGAAAACATTGAACACTTTACTCTCAATGACATCTCCCAACAAAGTAAGACACACACTCCCAAAGGTTACTAGGAGAGCATTTTGAAATCACTTGACTCCAACAGCTTTCCTTGGAAACTGAGGGACCTACCTAAAGAAAAAAGTGTTTCATTTTTAAAGTGTTTAAGATTTCAATTAGTACATCTAAAACCGAAAACTAAAAACAATTCTAAGAAAGCCAGGTGTGGTGGCTCACTCCTTGTAATCTCAGCACTTGGGAGGCTGAGATAGGAGGTTCACAGTGAGTTCCAGGCCAGCCTGGAGCAGAGAGAGACCTTGCCTCAAAAAACAGAACCAGTCAGGTAGTTCAGAGGTTAAAAGTGCTTTTAGCACAAGTCTGACAACCTGAACTAGATCCCAGGAATCCACACTGGAAGGACAGAACCAACTCTGAAAGTTTTTCTTTGACCTCGATGCCCACCATGTGCTCCCAACTAATAAAACACATTTTTTAAAAACCTGAAAATTGGCCGGGCATAGTGGCACACGCCTTTAATCCCAGCACTCCAGAGGCAGAGGCAGGCGTATCTCTGTGAGCTCAAGGCCAGCCTCATCTATATAGTGAGTTCCAGGTCAGCTGGGGCCACAGGAAGACCCTGTCTCAAAAAAGACCAAACAAAAAAATCTGAAAATTGGAGCTAGACAGATGGCTCAGTGGTTAAGAGCACTGACTGTTCTTGCAGAGGACCTGGGTTCGAATCCCAGCACTCACATGACAGCTAACAACCGCCTGTAATTCCACTTCCAGGAGATCCAATGCCCTCTTCTGACCTCCACAGGCACTGTGCAACACAGGTGCACGCCATGCATGCAGGCAATACACTCATACACATAAAATAAAAAATAAATATTTTTTAAAAAAATCTAAAAATCATCATCTCCAAGAATACAGTAGATAAAAATGCCTAAATGTCAAGATCTATTGAAAAACAACCTGTAAAAAAGTTTCACTTCAAAACATTTAAGCACTTTTCATACAATTAATTAGCTCCAACAGAACTGTTCCACCACAGCCAACTGCAACTATTACTCTGCATCTGCCAAAGAAACTACCTGAGTCTCAAGTCTTTTCTTAAGAGATCAGGATAAAGCAAGTTAAAAATAAATAAATAAACAAAAGTGGTACAAAGAGATTTAAAATTTAGGCACAGGGCGGAGGATAGAAGAAAAACTGGAAGGTAACACCTTTCAGGAGCTAAGTGTAATGAGACCTATTCCCTAATGATTGCTACCAGAATGAAGTTGTCTAAACCCCAAGTTATTCCTTCTTGGGTGTAAAACATCTGATTCACTCACACTTCACAATATATTGACCACCTTCCCACGTCAACGTAAAGGGATTCTCTTCGCTCCTCGACCTCCTAATTCATGTGGCCAAGAAAAGAAAAAAAGGAAGCCAAACCCCCAGGCCATGTGAGACCCAGTGCACCTCGAGGGCAACATCCACAGTCCATTTTCCTTCTGAAATCCAACCTTTCATCTTCTATCCCACCATGTCCAAAACAATCAAAGATCATCTTCAACATTTTACATCAGATCCACCCTGGCCGCACCCTAACTTCAGGGCTCTCCACATCCCGGGTCTCCCACAACATCACGCCTCCTGACCCTCCCACCCCCGGTCTCTGAGCTCCAGGAAACCTCCCAGCTCCCACCTCTGGGCCGAGGTCCCCCACCGCGACCGCCTCAGCTCCCGCCCATCCCCGAAGCCCGGGCAGGGTGGGGCCGCCGGTGGGCTAGAGTGCGCTGGGGCGGGGTCCACCCTCCGGACCTCCCATCCCCCCCGGTCGCACCGGAGGGGGATGGGTCCTGAAGCCTCACCTACAGCTCCGCCCCTCCCCAGGGGCGCTCTGCCCTGCCCAGCCAGGGCCGGGAGCGACCAGCCGGGTAGGAATCGGCAAACGCCTCAGAGCCGGCGACAGGCGGCCGGCTCCAGGTCTTGCTTGAGTCTCAAGCGGCTGCCGCCGAGGCCGCCTCGCTCTCTTCAGGGCCGCCGCTGCCGCTGCCGTCGCTGCTGCTACCGGCCGGACGACCCTGCCACCGCCACTACCACAGCCGCCGCCACTACCACAGCCGCCGCCACAGCCACAGCACGACCGGGCGCGCGCGACGTCATTGTGCCCCGCCCCCTGCGCACACACCTAGCCCCGCCCCTAAGCGCCCGCGCGGCGCCCGCGCTCCTCCTCCTGCCCCCGCCTGGCCTCTGGGCTTCCCCCGGGCGTCTTGGGAAGGGTGCGCCGCGGGTATTCGCTGAAGGACCGGGAAGCGGGTGTTTGGGGCGACGGAGGTAACCCGGCGCCGAGGCACACTGAACGCCGCCCCGTTCCACACACGGCCCTGACGGCCTCAATAGGACCGCACCGGGCAGCTCTGGCAAGCGGGGGGAAGGTGCGGACAAGGAGGCGGCGTTTGTCTCCTCCTGCTTGCCGTAGGACTGGGCGTGCTGGAAGCCCTAGAAGTGGAATTGCTTTTCCCGGACCTGGGGTGCCCCGCCCCCTCCGCAGGCCCGTTACCCGAACCCTGGGATCGCAGCCACCGTAGGAAATAGCTCTGGGATTGTCACTGGAGCCAGAGCTCCACTGGGCACCCCTTGTACAGGGAACTTAGCTTGTCCCCTCACCCTTGGCTTGTGCGGAGTGTGACCGTGTAAGGTAGTATAGAGTCAGTCATTTAGGATGCCCATGCGGGCATCGCTATAGACCCTCACCTCTGAAGGTAGCTATTCTGCAGGGATCCTGCCAGGAAAGAAGAGCGTGGGCGGAACCTAATGCCCATATGCAGTGCCTACACTGTGCCAAATGCAGTTACCTGTTTTATTTAGCCTTTACAACAAAGCAGCGAGGCAAGCTATGAAGTGAAGCAGCTGCTGGCTTATTTTAGACAACCCAATTTTCTTGTCCTGAAATCTCAACCTTTTGTTGGGGTTGAGGTAACAGCAGTCATTAAGGATGTAGATAAGCTATCTCTAAACCAAAAAACCAAGGGTGGTGTGAATTATACTCATTCCCATATTCCCAGGGTTTATTAAGCTAATTTAAAATGCCTTTGAGATGAGAGGCGTTAAGAGTCATCATTCTACTCAGCCTTACCTCCCACCGTAATTAACCAGCTTACACTCTTCATAATCTCATTAATACTGGCCCCAACCGTTCTTAGTATTCACAGTCACCAAATTCTATTTTATAATCTCCAGATTTTCTAATTGTTCACTTGGGTCATTACAGCACCTGGACATGCTGAACTGACTTCCCTCTCAGTACATCCAAAATTTGATTACCAATTATTAGAGGGTGTGCTGCCAAACCAGGTGACTGTACAGCAGTCAGACGATTTCATTTCTGGGGCTGTGAAAATGACTCATTACATAACAGCACGTGCTCTGCAGGCTTACGGAACTGAGTTTGAATCCCCAGCACCCATACCAAATCCAGGCGTAGCTGTGAGTGCCTATAACCCCAGCACTAGGGGTACAGGATGTGGAGACAGGCAGACCCAGAAAGCCTGCCGGTGAGATGAACTTATGGGGACTGGAGAAATTGCTCATCAGTTAAGAGCATTTGTTGCTCTTACAGAGGATCCATGTTCAGTTCCCAGCACCTACATGGGGCTAACCGCCATCTGTAACTCCGGTACCAGGGGATCAAACCCCCTCTTCTGGCGTGCAGGGGCATTGCACTCATACACATAAAACAACTTTTTTTAAAGATGAGCTTAAAATTACTCAGGCTATTGCCATAGCCCTTGATGGCCTCCCAAAACTTGAAGGTCAGACCCTACTGCTGAAGACAGAACATACGTCGGACACAGGATTTGGAGAAATGGAGCTGCAACTGACCTGGAAGCCACTTCCCCTGAAGGTGAACTCTCATAGCTTTGGAGAACGCTATGAAAGTACCAAGGGAAAACATCAACAGATGATCCACCACCAGCTTCAAGACCAAATAACCACATCAACGGCCAGCACAGCATACATCATTTGTGCAGTAGTTGCACTTTTTTCTTGGGGGCAATCAACAGCTACCTAATTTAAAAGCCACCTCAAAAGGGAGGAAACTCAAGTGTGGTACTGTAATATAACCTAATACACATGGCCAGAGTGGTCCTAGATCTTAGGAAAAAAAAACCCAAACTCTCACATCGCTAGACTAATGTGATTTCTTAACTGTGTGCAAAAATATGTATCCTTATATTTACAGACAAATATCCCAGGCAGCAGTAATCAAAGAAGTGCATTTTGCAGCAATCAGCGACTAATACCAAGTACCACAACTGGTCACATGCAGACATTGTCTATGAATTGCCCAGGCCCAAGGGACACATCTGCAGTGCAACCTCTGCACCTAACACTCATGGAACATAGAATAGAGATAAAAAGAGGACATTAAGGAATCAGTTCTCAAAAATGAAGCTCCCTCATGCAGCAGAGGGCCAGGAACACAAAAGGTCACAAATGGCCAAAGTGCAGTGATCAAGAGTCTACTAAATAATGGTCCTTGGACAGGACCCCTTTATTAGACTTTATCCACCCAAGGCTCAGGGACTATTGAGGAAGAGGGGGTAGAAAGATTGTAAGAGCCAGAAAGGATGTGTGTGACCATATGGAAACAGAGTCCTACGAGCTCCTGGAACCCAGCTGATAAGATTCTACACATAGGTGCCAGCAAACTCAGGCAGACAGTAACCCAGCATAGAACTGGGAAAATGAAGGGCAGACCTCAGTCTTTAAAGGAATGTTGGCAGCTGATTGCTGCTAGATGAAGAAGAGCTGATCTTCCTAAGATCCTAAAACAAAGACCTCTAGAGAGGCTGACTAGATTCACCAGATGGACAAGCACTGGGGGACAGGTGGGGTGCCAGCAACACAGTGGACAGTAACAGGGATGACAGAGTATATGGGCTCCAGTGGTCAGGGGGAGGCTATGGAAGGGTGCCAGTGGGGATGGGGGTATAAAAATGATTAAGATTGTTTGAGATGTTCTGTATGAAATACACAAAAAAACAATAAAAAAGATTTTTAAAAAAAGATGGAGCTGGGCATGGTAGTGCACACCTTTAATCCCAGAACTTGGGAGGCAGAGGCAGGCGGATCTCTGAGTTCAAGGCCAGCCTGGTCTACATAGAGAGTTCCAGGCCAGCTGGGGCTACAGGGAGACCCTGTCTCAAAAAGACCAAAACAAAAAAAAGATGAACTTATGTTTTAGTGAGAGACTCTGTCTGAAGGCAGTAAGATAGCAATAGAGGAAGACACCTGACATTCTGCTCTGGCCTCTGCATGTGCACACACACATACATACACAATACACACACAAAGATTTCATTTCTTGATATCTAGTAGTTACCCAGGAAAAGCCATTCATTGAATGTGTCAATATACTTCTCATTGAATCCTAAAGTACAGAGGCATTTGCCTTGCGAACGGTGCATGCACAGGGAGGAGGTATTAAAGATTTTTTTTATCTCTTTTGTGTACATGAATGGTTTTCCCTAATGTGTATCCACCACTTATGTGCAGATGCCGCCAGAGTCCAAGAAGACAATGTTGGGTCCCCTGGAGCCAGAGTTGCAGATGGCTGTGATCTGCCATGTGGGTGCTAAGAACTGAACCTAGGTCTTCTGCAAGATCAGAAGTACTTTTAACAGCTGAGCCATCTCTCTAGCCAGCCTAACATCTTTAGTCATTCATCATAATAAGTCATAGGCCAGCCTGAGATACAGAGTTTAAAAAAAACAGCTATGTGTGGTGACTCATGCCTGTAATCTCAGCACATAAGCTCAAGCAGGAGGATTGCCATCCATTTGAAGCCAGTCTGAGCTACATGAGACCCTGTCTTTTTTAATATAATTTTTATTTTTATGCGTATTAGTGTATTGTCTGCATGTATGTAAGTGTACTTGTGTTGTGCAATGCCCACGAAGGTCAGAAGAGGGCCTTGGATCCCCTGGAACTTAAGTTACAGGTGGTTCTTATTCACCATTTGGGTGATGGGAATCAAACCCAGGTCCTCTGCGAGATCAACCAGTGCTCTTAGCTGCTGAGCCATCATGCCACCCAAGACCCTGTCTTTAAAAAAAAATGGCCTCCTGGGGCTGGAGAGATGGCTCAGCAGTTAAGAACACTGGATGTTCTTGCAGAAGAACGGGGTTCAAACCCGAGGCCCTACATGGCGGCTAACAACTGTCGGTAACTCCAGTCCCAAGGGATCCAACAGCCTCTTCTGACCTCTGAGGACATTGCATGACATGGGTGCACTTACCTACATGCAGGCAATACATGAATACACATAAAAATAATAAAAATTTTAAATAATGGCCTCCATGGAAGAAAGACAGCATCTTCAACAAATGGTGCTGGCCAAACTATCTCCACCTGTAGAAAAATGAAACTACACCCTTATCTTTCACCTTGCACAAAAGGCAACTCCAAATGGATCAAAGACCTCATTGTGAAACTCCATGGTCTGAAACTTACTAGAAGAAAACATTGGCAGTAACCTACAAGATATAGGTGTAGGAAAGGACTTTCTAAATCAGACATCAGTGGTTCAGGAATTAAGGTCAATAATCTACAAGTGGGACTTCATTAAACTAAAAAAAGCTCTGTACAGCAAAAGAAACAAGAAAGTGAAGAGAAAAGCAGAACATTCATTCACTGCTGGTGGGATTGCAAATTTGTGCAACCCCTATGGAAAGCAGTGTGGAGAACTCTTAAAAAACTAAAAATGAGGACCAGGTGTGGTGGTGCACACCTTTAATCCCAACACTCGGAAATCAGAGGCAGGTGGAGCTCTGTGAGTTCAATGCCAACCTGGTCTACATAGTGAGTTCCAGGCTAGCTGGGGCTACAGCAGAGATACTTGTACAACTGTATTTGTTGCTGCTTCTTTCAAAATAGCTAAGAGATGGAAGCAACATAAGTGTCCCTCAATTGATGAGTGGTAAATGAAAATGTGGTAATTTACACAATGGAGTTTACTCAGGGTTAAAGAAAGATGACATAATGAAATTTGTAGGTAAATTGATACAACTGGAAACTGTTATACTAAGTGAAATAACACAGACTAGAAAAACAAAAGATGTATGTTCTCCCCCATTTGTGGATCCTAGCACCAAA